AATTATTTTAAACAGTAGCTTTATTTTGCTCATGATTTTATAAATCAGAAATTTTGGAAAGACTTACCTGGACAATTTTAGCCTGGGGTTTCTTAAGCAGTTGCAGTGAAATGTTGCCTGAAGCTTCAGACACCTAATGGTTATCCAAGATAGCTCAGGATTATGGCTGACAATTAATGCTGGTTGTCCTTTGGGAGCTCATATGGCACTGGTGACAGACGTGCCCTGTGTTTTTAACTTCGTAATATAGTTACAGGGTTCTTTCTCAGAGGTAGTAACCTGAGAGAGAGTATTATGAGACCATTGTAGCATTTTCTGATGTAGCCTTGAATGCCATTTGATTAAGTTAATTTCATCTTATTCTATTGGTTAAGCAAGTTAATAAAATCTGTCCACATCTGAAGAAACATTAGACTCTGCCTCTCAGTAGGAATAGTAGCAAAAGACTTGAAGCCATCTTTAATCTATCACACCATGTTGTTGTTGTTGTTATTTGCTGTCGAGTTGCCCCCGACTCATAGCGACCCCTCCTTGGGTTTCCGAGGCAGTATCAGTATGAAAGTAGGATTGCCCAACCTTCCTTCCGAGGAGTGGCTGGTGGGTTTGAACCACCAGCCTTCTGGTTAGCAGTCAAGTGCCTTAGGCACTATGCTACCAGAGCTCCTCACACCATAATCCCATATAATTACATAATAAGTCCATATTTGTTAATAATAATTGAATTAGGAAATAATATAATGGAATTCTGGCCTTAAAATTAATTATATTAGAATGAGGACCAGAATATGGCATAATTGTTGAATTATATATTTTTCTTCCTATGATTAAAGTTCATTTTAATAAGCATAACTTTCAGTTGGTTAGATTAACCTACAAGTTAATGGAGTAGCATTATTATTTTGAAAACAAGAATACATCAATATGACTTTTAATTCAATAGATAACCTCGCCAAATAAATGTTCTATAATTTTGCTATAGAACTTTGCTATAAATTATATTTTTCTATAATCAATACTGAGGATATTGAGTGAATTTTGCAATCATTCTATTTCATTTAGTAGGTTAGATACTTACATGAATGTTGCTATGTGTATATATCACAAATAAAAATAAAACTTCGAGTAGCTAAACTTCCTTTGCCAAGTCATTCAGAGAGAAGGCTTCCTAAATTGGCTTCTGATGATCAGCATGACAATTTCAATATGTGTAATTTCAAGCTGCTGGTTCAAACCCACCAGCCAGTCCTCAGAAAGAAGGTTGGGCAATCTTCTTCTGTAGTGACACCGTCTCAGAAACCCAAGGAGGGGTCACTCTGAGTAGGGTCCGACTTGACGGAAAACAACCACACCAATTTCATAAATAAAAGCAAATAATATTTTAGCACCTTTCTGATTTAAACCTTTGAGATTATAAATTTCTTGAAAAAATTAACTGAGAATGGAATTTGAGAATTGTGTAAGGTGAGTTTATTTTTGGAAAATCAAATTTCTTTATAATTCCTAGTAGACACAAAATAACAAATCTTCTATTTTAAACTCAGAATTAATTAATTGGAGAAAAAAAAAGAACAATAGTGGGAGACATGGACTATTTCTCAAATCCCTTTTCAAAAAATGACTCAGATTTAGCTGCAGTAAATGTGGTTAGCTGACTACCTCTAGCTGCTAGTACCTTCAGGGTCTGCCTCAGTTCTCCAGCTGAAGTCAGGCTCATCTCTGGCCTGAGACAATGACTAAGGTAGTGGCAGCTGATGTCTTCTTGAAGCAACCTCTCAGCCAATAATTAAAGAAGGTAGTGGTACAAAAGCCTACCCACTTTTCCCCTAAAAAAAAAAAAAAAAAAAAACATTTCCCAAACAGGTAATATTGGCTCTGGAGATTTCTGTTTGCCTGGCAGAGAATTTTTCAGATATGAATAATAATAGTCTGACTGTCCCCATGTCTGGGAGCTCTGGTGGCATTGTGCCTAAGGCATTTGACTACTAGGCAGAAGGCTGGTGGTTCAAATCCACCAGGCACTCCATGGAAGGAAGATGGATGGGGCAATCTTCTTCCATAGAGAAACCCAAGGAGGGGTCGCTATGAGTTGAATTAAATCCATGGCAGTGAGATTTTTTTTTTTTTTTTTTTTTTTTGGTTTTGTCCCCTTGTCCAACCTTGTTTCCTACCCCTTTTCTTTCATAGGAAAGAAAATAACCATTTGCACTCTTAACTCCATCTCTTTGTCTGTTTCCTGCAGAACCCAGTCTGTGACTCTTTTTTAATGAAAGCAATACAGTCTTCTTAAGTAAGGTATTATGCAAGGCATTGGAACTAGAAATACTAATGCAATAGAGTTTTTTGTTATCAGATATTAAATAGGTTGTTGTAATCAACAAGTTATAAAAACTTCTATGAGGCTCAAAGAGGTTAAATAACTTGCATAGAGCCACATAACTGTGACTTGCAGTTCCAGGATTTGATCCCAGATCACTTTGATCTAAGGAACATGATTATTCTTCTATCTGCTGATCTAAATCTGTTGATTTTTTGCTTGCATGTGATGCCATTACCAATATAACATGCAATATTTAGAATCTGTGGGTATAAGTATTAAAAACTGTGGGTGTTAACTTTATCCATGAAAACTTATGATTTAGGGAAGAAATGGGACTTTTAGAAAAGAAGGAAGAGAGATAATTACATTAGTTTTTGAACACATGGTTGAAATATTTCATAGTCAAGCTGGTGATCAGCAAATGAAAGGATAAATTAATAAAATAGATCTATACATTCTACATTTCTCAGTATGTTTTGTTTTTGTTGTTATGTGCTGTGGAGTCAGACCCGACTCATAACGACCCCTCCTTGGGTTTCTGAGGCAGTATCACTATGGAAGTAGATTGCCTCACCAGCCTTCTGGTTAGCAATCAAGTGCCTTAGGCATGAAGAAGTAAAATTTACTCTGACCATGGAAGCTAGAATAAATATATATTCTATTTTTGCTAATCCATTAGATATTTTCTTCTTTGATAGCTCAGTTGAGGGTAATAGTTGCATTCAGACAGGGTGGGAATTCTATTGATGTTTATGCTGTTTATTTGTTAATTTTGTGAGAAGGAAACATGTATTTCTTTCATGATACACTTAAATGTGTCAATCACTATATTTGATGTTAGAGATATGCTAGAGAAATAAAGTCTATATTCTCAAGTGGGGAAAAACAAATAAAACAAAGCCTAGTCCAGTAAGGCTGGGAAACAATCAAACAGTACTTATACAAAATAAAGTTTGATTAAAATGCTATGGCACACCACCCTACAACTCCTAGCATCACCCCATCAAAGGGATATATAACAGCCCACAAGGAAAACTTCCTTGTGGGACAAGGAGAGTAATAATAGAGACGCATTAAAACTGAAAAACCAAACTCACTGCCATCTAGTTAGATCTGACTCATAGCAACCCCTCCTTGGGTTTCTGAGGCAGTATTTCTGTGGAAGTAAGCTGCCCAATCTTCCTTCCGAGGAGTGGCTGGTGGGTTTGAACTTCCAGCCTTCTGGTTAGCAGTCAAATGCCTTAGGCACTACACCACCAGAGCTCCCAGAGATACATTAAAAAAAGAGATGCATTAGAGTATAAGAAATTTTGGCAAGGAATGGGGTGGAGTGATAGGATGGTTAGAAGACAGTATAATTCAGACAGGAGTCCCTGGATGATGCAAAGAGTTAACATACTTAACTGCTAACAAAAATATTGGAAGTTTGCGTCCAACGATAATCTACCTCAAAGGAATGACCTGGTGATCTGCTTCTGAAAAATCAGCCATTGAAAGTCCTGTGAAGCACGTTTGTGCTCTGACACACATGGTGTCACTATAAGTCAGACCTGATTAGACAGAACAAGTTATAATCCAGACAAAGACAGGCATGCATAAAGCTGTGGAAACATGAAACTACGTGATGATCCCAACTTTGCATCAATAAGCAAAGGTTGTCAAGAAGTTAGAAATGAAAAACTTTGAACTATAAATGAAAAACTTGAAAGATTTTTGACTTACTTTTTTTCAGAAAGAGATGATTAGCTGTTAAATTGGGAAATGACATGATTAATTCTGGTTTACAAAAAATCTCTTTGGTAAGTAGGGAAAAGGATAGAGCTAGCACTCAGACACTGCTGCAGAAATCTCAGAAAGAAACAATTAGGGCCTAGAGGAAGCCAATAAAGAATAAAGAGAATTAAGTAAGTTGAAATTATAGAATTTGGTGTCAATATGTTTCAGAATAATAAAGAGCTGAGAGTATCGGATGACTTCCTGGTTATTCCTTTAGGTACTGGGGAAAATAAGCAAAATGGAAGCTTTAGGATGGAGGAAAATGATATTGAGTCAAATGTTGAATTGGAAACTCTGTGGGGCATGCTAAGTGAGTAGTTATATTCATGGGTTGGCTCAAAGCAGGTAGGTAATTCTGGATTAATTATTGGCATCTGAGAGTAATAAAGGCTATGAATGTGAACATACTGTGTGCATCAAAGTCATGGCTCAGTGTACCTGCAGACTGAGAAGATTAAATTCCCAAAGATATGAAGGTCACAAAAGACAAAGACTGTATCATGAACACTGGTTTAGGAATTAATATTTAATTATAGCAAGAGAACAAATAGTAGGCATTTATTTTAGAATATAAGTATTTTAATTCCACTAATTTTATATACACAGGAAGGGGAGGAAGGGATCTAGGATGACTCCCTGTTTTCTTCCTTAAGCAACAAAACAGAGAACCAGATTAAGGGGGTGGGCACTGATATAACAACAAATATGTCATCATATATAGCATAATAACATTATTGCATATATGTTTACTTTACAACTTAGAATATATATTGAAAATTATAGTCATAGAGGAAATGTGAGTTTTGTTAGTCAGATGCAGTTTATCTCCCATTGAGTGGAGCTGACTTTATCAAGAGCAAAGTGAAAGGCCTAAGCCTATTATGCGGTCTCTTTGATGTTTTTATAGGATATAATGAAAGATGAATGTTCCATGCTCAAGCTGCAGCTGAAAGAGAGGGATGAACTCATTTCTCAACTTCAGGAAGAGCTGGTAAGTGATAACAGTATTTGGCCTACAGATACTTACCTTGTAACATTATTTTCTATAAATCCTGCAGTGACTTGTTTATTAGCACCTCAGTTAATGATTATCTCTGATTAATTTTATAATTCTACAATAATAAGAACTATAGATATATGAATTCTAGAACACTTATTTGTGCTCATGAGGACATGACGTAGAGGCATTTGTTTGAACAGAAAAAGGGGATTAAAATAAGAAATTGTATTTGTCAGGCTTTTATCTTTGATGATACTTATTCTATCTGTATATTGAGCAAATAATCCAAGAAGCTGGACTATATGAAGAAGAATGAAGCATCAGAATCGATGGAAGACTCATTAACAACCTGATAATTGCAGATAACACATCCTTACTTGCTGAAAGGAAATAGGACATGAAGTACTACTGATGAAGATTAAAGACCACAGCCTTAAGTATGGATTACACTTCAAGATAAAGAAAACAAAAATCCTTACAACTGGACCAATAAGCAACATCATGATAAATCAAGAAAAGATTGAAATTGGCAAGGATTTCATTTTACTTGGTTGCACAATCAATGCCTTTGGGAACATCAGTCAAGAAATCAAACAACATACTGCATTAGGAAAATCTGGTGGAAAAGACCTATTTAAAATGTTCAAAAGCAAAGATGTCACTTTGAAGACTAAGATGCTCCTGACCCGAGCCATAGCATTTTCAATCTCACTTCATCTGCATTCATATGCAATCCATATGCCACAAGGTGGATTGGCATGGTGGCTGTGATAATGGCTTGAGGTATAGCAAGGATTGTGAGGCTGTCACACGACCAGTCAGTGTTTCATTCTGTTGTACATAGGTTCATTATGAGTCAAAGCAAACTCAATGGCACCTAACAACAACATATGTGTTTGAAAGCTGGACACTGAATAAGAAAGCCCAAAGAAGAACTTGAACGATAGTCTATGCAAACATATATTGACTAGACCATGGACTGCCAGAAGAATAAACAAATCTATCTTGAAAGAAGTGCAGCCAGAATGTTCCTTAGAAAGAAGGACGGTGAGACTTCGTCTCACATGTTTTGGATAAGTTATCAGGAGGAATGAGTCTCTGAAGCAGGACATTGTATTTATAAAGTAGAGAGCAAAAAAGTAGAAGAAAGTCATCAACAAAATGGATTGATACAGTGATTGAACAATGGACTCAAACGTAGCAGTGATTTTGAGGATGGTGCAGGACCAGGCAGTGTTTTCTTGTTCTGTTGTATATAGGGTTAATATGAATCAGAACCTTTGATGGCATCTCATAACAATATAGGTATTGAAAATCAAAAGAAGAATTTTTTAATAATATATTGAAATGTGTATGCTTGTAGACAGTGGTATCACTAGGGGAGTGGTGGGGGGGATGCAGACTTAAACTTCTGACACTGGCAGATGGGGTGACATCACATAACTCCAGGATCCATGTTGGCGGCAGCAGCAACCAAGCTGCTGCCACAAGGAGAAGGACTGCCAAGGAAGTGATATCATTAGGGATGGTGTGTGTCATCCACCTCACAGTGCAATAACCTGTCACCTCTTCCCACCAACTTTCCCTCTCCTGATGTTGGTTATTGGTCCAGTTGTAAATCTTTATGGAAGTAGATTGCCTAATCTTCCTCAGCTGGTGTGTTTGAACCACTGACCTTCTGGTTAGCAACCATATGCCTTACATACAATATTATATAATTTCTAAATAAGGTATAATTTATACAAAGAAATGATATCTATATAGTTCATGTTTTCAGAATTCTTTTTAAAAATGTAACATCATAAAATAATGTAATGTATAGGCCATTAACAAACCAAACCAAACTCACTGCCATTGAGTTGGATCCAACTCACAGCAACCCCTCCTTGGGTTTCTGAGGCAGTATCACTACAGAAGGATTGCCCAAACTTCCTTCAGAATAGGCCATTATTAACATGAAAATACATATTTTCCAATTAAATACATGGACTTGTTATATTAATTTAAAAAATTATAATAGTATATAACAAGAATGAAATAGATGTGAGAAGTTTTTTTAATTTATTGTGTTTTTCTTTTTTACAATACCAGAAAAATGAAGACATATTATATTATAAAAGAGACCCTGACTCATTATCAAGATCAAAAGGCAAATGCTGTTGTTGTTGTTGTTGTTAAGTGCCGTCGAGTCGTTTCTGACTCATAGCGACCCCATGCACAGCAGAACGAAACACTGCCCGATCCCGCGCCAGCCCCACAATCCCTGCTATACTTGAGCCCATCATCGCA